CTGATCCGGGTAGACTGCCGGGTATTCCCAGCCAATCGCCGATGTTTACATCGGGTAAAATAGGATTGACACATCCTATTCTACCCGATGTAAACAGACATCAGCGATTGGCTGGGAAAACCCCGGTTGAACTTTCGGTTGACGGTTCAAAACAATGTTCTTATATTACAATATTTCTGGTTATTATGTTGATAGTACAAGGGTTAATAGTAAAAATTTAATTTAAACTTGCAGGTTTACTTAGTAAAGCTGTCGTTTTAAATCCCTTTAGAATTATTCATTCGAAAACATTTGACAAAGAGTTGCAACTTGTGCAGGATTTATCTAACACAGTTTAAAGATTAACAAAAATTTCTGTATAATTCATATTTTTTTCAATAAAAACATTTCTGACGATTATAATTTTTAATTCGCATTAAGTTTTTGATACTGTATATAATTTACATGAATAATTTTCACAATAGCCTGATATTTCACTTAGTATTTCCGCGAGCATATCGTTCAGATATTCCCAGCTCAATTAAAATACGCGGTGCACATTATATTAATGTTCATGAATTAAACCAAAAATTCAGATAAACCCAACACAACTGTACCAAAATAAACCGTTACAATAATAATTATATACAAAATCTACTCAATATCCATTACAGTATCATTAGAAGAATCTACCACAGTATCAATAGAAGATAGATTTTCTTGTTCAGAATTCTTTATTGTTTCACATTCCGTATCTTGATAATCTTTTTCAAAATCATCTATTGATTTTCTATTTTGATTATTTTCTTCAAGATCTTTTGGATGTTTTCGAATCTTTCCTTTGTAAAATTCAAGTCCTTGATACTTGCGTGCTATTATGACCGATATAAATAATAATATGATAATGAAACTTAAACTAGCAACTATTATTATAATTTTTTGTTGCTGAGTTAATGATGAGATTGAATTTGGATTTATTGGCTCGTTCGGATTTGACGGAGTTGGCGAAACATATGTTTTAATTACGTAATATGCCATTATTCCTTGAAATGCGGAATTATAATCAAGTGCAACCTTTTAAATGACAAATAATTTATAGGAAATATTAAGAGCATTGCGACATGTAGCAAATTAAAAATAAAATGTATACAGTACCTCAGATTGAACAATATTTGTTCTTGAGTCATCATACGAATCATTTATGTTCGGACCACCTACAACAGCACCATATAAAGGATGCATCGTTTCTGGTGGATTATTCAAGTTTCCAATATTTGTTCCTCCATGCGCACCAGCATGATGAGGATTTTTAGGAGAATTTGGATGAACAGCCACAACATAAAACCTTTTCATAGGATTAGCAC